TCGGGGCTGGGGATTTAGCTCAGCGGCAAAAGCGGCCTGCCTGGCAAGCACAAGTCATGAGTTCGGTTCCTGGTACCAGAGAAAAAAAAAAAAAAAAAAAAAAGAAATGCCTCATAGATTTCTGTAACTGGTAGTTACCTCACTGTCTCCAGGAAGCCACATCTGTGTTTGGGGTGCATTATGGAACTGCATCTCTCCTCTTACCTGCCCCTCCTGTCCCCAGTGACCACTCCTACACCCCTTCTTCCATGAGACAGACTGTTGAGCTTCTACACAGGCATGAGGACCTGCAATACTTCTCTTTCTAGGCCTCACCTACCTCACCTAACCTACTGACCTCCAGTTCCATCCCAGTGCTGCACATGACAGGATTTCATTTCTGTGACTAAAAAGTACTCAATGTGAATATACACCAGATTGTTCTTCAGCTCTTAATGGAGAGCTCCACTGGTTCTATACTTTAACTACTATGTTGAAAATAGTGCTGCAGTGAACATCAGAGAGCAAATATCTCTGTGCCATCATGATTTCATTTTCTTGGCATATCTCCAGTAGTGAGGTATATGGCGTCAAATTGAATGGTGGCTTTATTTTTAGCTTTTGGAGACATTTCCACGGTGTTTCTCCACAATGGCTCTAATGTTTACATTCCTATCACAGTGCTAGGACTGCTCTTGCTCCACTTCTCCACCCAGGAGGTTTCCTTTTCTCTTTTCGGTGGTGCCCTTCTGAGGAGGGAAGGATCTACTGCGCTTCTGAACTGCATCTCCTGAGGATTAGGGATACTGGGCATTTTTCAACACTTCTTGATGATGTGCACATCTTACTTTTTGAAGTGTCTATTCAGATGTTCACCCTGTTTGAAAAACGAATTCTTTGGTTTCTCTTGTTGTGGTTGGGTGGTGTTGAGGGGTTTAATTACTATTTTCACTCCTTATCCATTCCACATATTGATACCCTTTTAGATAGTTGGCAGATATTTTCTCCCATTCTCTAGGTTGTCTCTTAACTCTGGAGCTGCCTTGCTGTGCAGAAGCTTCTCACTTTGATGTAATACGATTGTCTCCTTCACGTCTGTTGCCTGTGCACGGGGCTCTTATCCAAAAGAACTTTCCCTCATGTTTTCTGATAGAAATCTCATGTTACGAGTTCTACATTTAGGCCTTCTATCTTGTTTCAGATGATTTTTGTGTGCATGAGAGGGAAGTTACATAGCTACCGCTCCAGCATAGGCACATCCACTTTCCCCAACATCACTTACTGAAGAGGCTGAAGAGTCAGTGTTTTCAGTCCTGCATGTTGCTGATGCCTTTCTCAAGATCAGTTTGCTATAGTAGCATAGATTCTTTTTTGGGTTCTCTATTCTCCTTCATTGGTCCATTTGTCACATTTTATTCCAGGAGCAGGGTTTATTGGCTCCTGTATTTTCTAGCATACTTTGAAGCCTGTTATTGTGATGGCTCCCATTATACTTGATGTAGTTTTGTTTAATTGTTTTTGGTCAGGATAACTTAGGCTCTTCTGGGTCTTTTGTAATGAATTTTAAGATTGTTTATCTCTCTTGCTGTGAAAAAAAGTTATAGGTGTAATGATGGGGACTGCACTAAATCTATAGATGGCTTTGGGTATAGTTGTCTTAGTTATATTCTCATTTTGAGACACAAAACCTGGCAGCCACAACTTAGAGGACAGGTTTGTTTTGGCTCACAGATCATGGAGGTCTCAGTCCATAGTCTGCTGGCTCCAAACAGGGTGGCATGGCAGAGGGGCATCGCAGAGGAGCTTTCCTCAAAGCATGGCAGCAGGGAGCAGAGAGAGATCAAGAGGGGAGGAGGGAGAGAAACCCTCCAGGCCACGGCCACAGTGACCACCTCCTCCCACCAGGCTTCACCTCCCAGCATCATCTTTAACTACATATCCATCAATAGATGAATCCAGTGATGAGCACCACACCCCCATGACCCAATTACTCCCAGAAGCCCCCACCAAGAGCGTAGAGGCTTTGGGGTACACCAAGGTGTAACCCACAACAGCATATTCCTTGTCAGTGT